TATGGCGGAAAGTCAAAAATTTGCACTAAGTGCTCAACTCGGCGAGATAAGCACTTTTGTGCAAAAAGTGAAAATGTTAAAAAATTGAGTCAAAATGTAATTTTTTTTGTTAGGCACGGTGAGATAGCCTGAAACAAACACTATTCCATTAAAAGTTTGAAGTTTTTTGGAATGCGATGGCGACACTACAACGGGAATCACTATCAGCTGATGTTAACTCGATTGACCCGTTGAAAACTAAACTTGAAGGCATCATTGAGGAAAATCAGTTGACCAGAGATAAAATTTTTAACGCCGATGAGACAGGTCTTTGGTGGCGGCTAATGCCTAATCGTTCGTTGGTTTTACGAAACGAAACAAATGCGAAAAACTTTAAAAAAAATCAAAGGATAGGGTAACAATCATGGGCTGTGCCAATGCCTCAGGGACGTCCAAATTGCCTCTCTTATTCATCCACAAATCGAAGCGACCAAGATGCTATAAAAATAAAGACATGTCTCGCTTGCCGGTTACATATTATAGCCAACATTCAGCAAGGATGGATGCTACCGTTTTCAAAAAATGGTTCCACAGTGACTCTGTTCCAACTGTCCGGCGGTGGTGCCATGAACACGACATTCCATACAAAAAATTCTACTTCTTTTGGATAATGCTCCGTCACACCACCCCCCCCCCTCCTTCCCCAAAAGAAGAACTCATTTCTGAGGATTTGAACGTCTGGGTTGAGTTTCTTCCCCCAAACACCACTAGCGTGATTCAGCTTATGGACCAGGGGATCTTGGAACCCCTGAAACGACGCTACAAAAAACATCTTCTACGACACATCCTGGCGAACGATGACGACATTCCAAATGTCATCAAGCAGCTGACAATTAAGGATTGCGTTGCTTGGATTTCCCAAGCATGGAAAGATGCAACGGAAGAATACCTAAGTCGTAGCTGGCGACAACTTCTGGGAGAAGAGCCGAACAACGACTCCTGATCCTCATTAAAGAAACCATCATGATGACGATGACTCGGCTGAATTCGATGTAATTTTTGAAGAACTCGGATACCAAGCCGATGATAGCGAGTAGATGGGACCTGTTCAATGGCTGGCTGAAGACGCAGACGATCCAGGGTATCAGTGGCTAACGGATGATCAAATCATCAGTGGTGTGGAAACATCGCAGGAGCACGAGATTCATCTGATGATGAACAAGAAGTTAGTCACCTCCCAAGAGTCAACGCATCAACAGTTTTTAACCTGCTGATGTGGCTGGATGATAAGGGGAAGTAGATTATATTCACCTAATGCAAGTGAAAAAAGGGCGAGCTGAAGCTGTCAAACTTTAAACTGCATTTAGTACTAAACTACCTAGACACTGTAGTGCCACTTAGTAACTCTGTTCCTTCATTTTATGAGTATTTGCATAAATCTTTGTATTGCTTCATGAATAGAACTAACAATAGTGTTTACAGTCTGGTATCTTTGTCAAAGTTAATGCTCTGTTCAACTCCAAGATGAGTCTTACTTGGAATGAGTTGCTCAGGGGCTATCTTTCTTAAATACAGTAATTATTTAAATCACCTTTAGTGCCAGGGTGCCGCGTTTTGGGCACGAGAGCTGTGGAATTAGATTTTGATTGCTACCCCGGAATGTTTAGATTTTGTCTTTGTCTAGTTGATTTTGAATATTGTGTCTGTGTGCTATATCAGATTGGTTTTTTTTCCCTACTTTTTCTAGGTAACTTTTTTGATAACCGACAACTGTATTATTCAATTGATTCTTCAGCTAATTAAGGACTGCATTTATTTAATTGATGCTTTTGTTTATCATCAACTACCTTATTCAATTGATGCTTCAGCTATGCCACTGACACTCTTATTATTTCAAATGATACAAAAG